ATTATGAAGGGCATGGACAGTCAGAAGCTTTCCACCTCCGGGTAGAAGAGTCAGTTACCAGGGGCCATGGGTTTATGGTGCGAGGGACAAGGTTTAAAAGAAATGTAAGAGGCAAGTTTTTTTTTTAAGAGGGTGGTGGGTTCCTGGAACTCGCTTCCAGGGGAGGTAGGGAAGCAGATATGATTGTACCTTTTAAAGGGTATCTTGGCAAATACATGAATAGGATGGGAATAGTGGGATACGGTCCCCGGAAGGGTAGGGGGTTTTAGTTGCGACAGGCAGCATGTTGGTGCAGGCTTGGAAGGCCAAAGGGCCTGTTGCTGTGCTGTAATTTTCTTTGTTTTTTATTACAATATGACTAGTTACTCCTTTGGAGAGCTATGTTGTATGCCCAACATCATTTGGTAGACAATGCCAGAATTGAAACTGAGAAAGGAACCAGTTGTTTTCAAGTGAATAAATAAACGCATCTCCAACACATTCCTTCAAAGATTCACTCAGAATATTAATTCATCTTTCTCCTTCAAATGCAAATGGCTCATTGTATGTTTCAAACATTGATTGCTTTTAATTTGAGCTTTTACATTCTTCCTCAGATAAATACCTACACTTAAATTGTTTTATCTACTAATAGTTATGTGAATACTCATTTATTGTACAAATGAGAACTGTTTTTGTGTGAACCAAAAACTGCAACTTATTTTTTTCATAAATAAGAGCTGTATTAGTGTCATGATGTGCATGTTCCCAGCCATGGTTCCCATGGAATATGAGGTCACTGCAATGTTTCATGCCTGGAAACACCACAAGAAATACAGATGGATTTGGAATGTGGTGAAATGTAGATATGGTACTGACATTATAGAATAACTGAATGATTTGAGTTAAATCATTAAATCAAGAGTTTGAAGCTCTGCTAATGATGACATTGAGCCTTAGATCACAAGTTATTTTCTGAAGTGGGAAACATGCCGGTCTGCTACATAGGCTAATGTTTGGTGTAGAATAACCACACCTCAAACTGCTGTTCCATCCTTTAGATTTTGTTTTCCTTGCCAATCTCACCAAAGATCTTATTATATAATTAACATTCAAATTGTTAACACTTTTCCCTCTTTCAGATATTGATTGACCAGTCATCTATTTTCAGCATTCATGAACTTTCTGTTTATCTATTAATATTTAGTAAAGCTTTTGCCAATACTTATTCTAGCCACGAGATGTAGCATCTTGCAATGATGGTCAATTCCATCTCAGGCAGTGAATAAGGTGAAAAAAAAATGACATAGCCAACTGCGGAAGGCACTGTAAAAGACTTCCATTTACCCCCCACCAACCCCCACCACTGATACCACTCTTTCAACATGAAGAGGCAATGATGGTGCGGATGAAAATTGCAGCCAGCAATCATTCTGGGGAGAGAATGAATGAATAAAAAGCATGAGATTGAAAATGAAAAATAAACAGCTATTTCATAGTTGAGAACTGTTGTTCAGTACACAATAGAGAATAAAGAAAAATGCTTTTTCTTCTTGAAATCCTTTTCTAATATTTAGTTATTTTCACTCATCCTTGCATTACACTAAGCATCTTCATTCCCCAGTTGGATATGATCGTTGATCTAATATGTTAGGCATTTACAATAGTCAGCATGAAACTTAATCTCTCTTTGCCTTTACACTCTGTAGCTGGTATGACTTTTCCATTACCTTAAACAAATGGTGCTGTATTTTTAGAATGTGTAATTACCCTGCATCAGCATGCTGGGTCCAGGCTGTGCCTAAGAAAGTGCACTCGGGAATGAAGCAAGTGCAACAGAGCTTTGCTAATAAAAATGTTGAAACTTGAATCCTTGGATGTGGTGATTAATGAAATGCCACTTGATCATTTGATCTGATCCCTTTTGCTGAAGTAAATTGTTTAAGTTTTCCATTGGCATGGATTGAATGTTTAGCATGAACTGCTTTGAGAGCAAGATCCCTATGCTCTAAAAGATATATCAATGGCACTTCTTCAAACATTATCACTGAGGATTGTAACATGCTTTTTATCTCACTTAAAAGGAAGGAAGAGGTACTGTTTAAAGGAAAGCTTGTTTCTGGTATTTTTTTTTTAAATGCCAGTGGTGGCAATATTCTTGTCAGACCACCTATAAATGAATCTGTGATTAAAAGCATTTGTTAGCAGATAATAGTCACTTAACATTAACAGAATCTGTCATTTTTAAAAAGTTGGTGCATTCCAACCACAGCTGTGTCAGCCCGACATCATTATACAATGAAAAACACAGTGAAGTTCATAATGTGATCATTAACACATTAATTGAATGTTTTATTAACTGAATGAACTATAACAGGAGAAAATCCTACTTGTGCAGATACTCCTGATTTTGGCAATTTAGCTTGATGACCAAAGTTTCTTTAGTCACAGATAAGAAACTCAGTATAACAGCTTTAAGTTTCAAATGTATTTAAAAATGCTTTTTTGCAACAATCATAATCTGATTGTGGATTTGTGTCACATGCTAAATTTGAATGATTAATTTAGGTTAATATTCAATTACAAGCCTACGTTGGAAGAGGCATATTTTGTGTCAGCCCTTGTCGGCAGTTGAAAGGAACATCAAATTTATCATGTCACTATTCAAACAGAAGTTTACTGATCAACATTTCTCCCTTAATCAATAACATCATAATAATTGCCAATTCATCTTGTTGTTTTGATAGTGTCGACAAGCTTGTTTACTCAAAAACAGTTGCCACATCCAAACACTTATTGTGTAAAGTATCTGCAAGTCATCCAAGAAATTCCTCTATCCCCCTTCCCATCCATCATAGATTGTTTCTTCTCCACTTCCCAAGCTCCGATTGTTGACTATGTGAACATGAAAGCTGAACAATTTTCACACTTTCTCAGAATGAGCAAACTGCATTGTGGTTGCCATTAGTCTTCATGGATCCCTGATGGTTTGTCAATGAAAAGCAAACCGCATACCGTCATAAAAAGACAGGGGTGGTCACTCTCCTCCTGTGCTCTTTACCTGTTATCCTTCTATCAAAACCATGATGGTAGCTATATAGTTTTGTTAAAATAGCTCTGAATCATTATGCATTAATCTGATGGTAGCACAAGGAGCTTAATTCTCTCTCACTTATGTATGACACCACATTATAGTAAGCACTTTCCTTAAAATTGTGACCCTTTACCATTCAAACTATCAATTATTCAATAGTTTTGGCTAAGTTACACCATTTTCCTAACTGCTGGAAAAGCCCAGCAGGTCTAGCAGTATCTCGGGAGAGAAATCAGTTAACGTTTCAGGTTGAGTGACCCTTCTGAAGAAATTTTGTTTTTGTGTTTCTGATTTACAGCATCTGCAGTTCTTTCAGTTTTTAAACCATTTTCCTATTTGAGCATGAATGGGGCAATTTATTTTGTTTTATTCTTTAAAACACTAGATCCATGTTCCTTATTACTTTAACAAACTGGAATCACTAGCTACCATTTGATATTTTCACATTTAGTGTTTCACCATCTCTTCAAACCTCTGATGCAACTTGGTATCTTCACAGCTTCTCTGAGGTAACTTTAATTATGAGCTGAATTTTAAATGGCTGGGGTCTGCCCGTGTAAAATTCTGGGTCAAGCCTGTTCACTTTGCAGCCATTTAATTACTGTTAGTCCATTAACTGGTTTAAGGCAGCCCTTCTCAACCTGTTGGAGAGCAGAGGGTGGAGAATAACTGGGACGAAAGGCAAGATGGCACTTTGACTGTTACAAAGTGCCCAAAAAGGGAGGGGCAGCCCAGCCACTAGCCTGTCAGATTTTCCCCTAATAGGTTGGACACTTGGTATATGTTTCCCTCAGCATGGGTCAAACCATAGTATCAGTAAGAAAAGGCTCTTAAGTCACCAGTGAACGGTAGGATAGTACAGTGAAAAACAATAAGATGTAGAGGATAATATATTTTTAAAAACTGAGGTGTTTAAGATATATAGTCTTGCAGAAAAGAATGTGAAAGGTAAGTACAGAATAGCTCTTATATCATTATATGATGGGTGAGTTGAGGAGAAAGAAAGATTGGGTGGATGTGTATAACATAATGGATTTGAAAGCGCTAAGATGAAGCTGTGCACGTTGTGATAAGTAATATAGCATCAGGAGTCCATGCAGACAGCAACTGGTTTCTGAGCCAGTCTGCTTATGAAGATACATGTGGTTTACCTATTTTGTGTTAATATTAGTTAATGCAATCTGTACAGAATTAAAACTATGTAATAAAACTTATCTTATTACCCAAGCTGGAAGCCCTTTCTGCTGAGTCATCACTCAGCACTAACTGCTAGAAAGCCCCTAGACTTCCTAGCTCAGGAAGAAAGGTTGGTAGCAGTATTCCACCTAAGGGACTCGGGTCAAACCATCAATATTACAACAAAGGATTGCTTTATCATGAAATATTAAATGACATTAATAAGATGAATCTTGAATATTGTTTTCAAAAATCAGGCTGGGAGAGTCAGGAAACATATGCATGATCAACAAAAAAAAAAAAACTGTGGATGCTGGAAATCAGAAAAAAAAACCAGAAATTGCTGGAAAACCTCATCAGGTCTGGCAGCATCTGTGGACAAAGCAGAGTTAACTTTTCAGGTCCAGTGACCCTTCTTTAGAACATATATGTGCAGTTAAGTGTTGGGAAGTAAGAGTTTGTAGCCTAGAATGTTGTGCTGGAATGGACTATTCTTATTTCTTTGTCCTTTGACTTTCGTTATCATTTTAAATCTAGCCAATGTTTGAAAACTGACTGACTAGAAACTGAACTATTACTCCAGATTAAAACATCAATTAAAAAGTTAGGAGCTGTCCATCAGAAACTTCACATAAAAATGCATTTTAATGAATTACAACAAACAGTAGGATCCTCATTTAAAATGATCACATTTTTAAAACATGTTTTTGTTCATTACTCTCATCATATTTTGACGAAAGATATTACTTACCTGCAAGCTGGAAGAGAGTAGCATGTCTGTAACTTACTGAATGATTGTATTTCATCAGGTGTAGCAAGGAGCCCATTTGATGAACAAAAAATCCTGGTCTTGTGTAAGACTCAAAGGCATCATATCCTAAAACCCATGCATCTTTGTGAAATATAAACGTTGCTTCTTTTTGAAAAATGTTGTTGTCTTCCCATTTACTGAGCTGCAGGGATCCATCAAATACAGTATGAAGGAAGTAATTTGGTTTGTCAGCCACTTCCAAAGAAACTAATGATATGTCTGTTGTAAATAAAAAAAAACTTGCATTTATACAGCAGTTTCCATTATCATCAAAATAAAAGGTCTTGCATTTATAAAACACTTTTCATGAATGGAAGAAGTTTCAAAATACTTTACATCCATTTAAATACATTTAAAGTGTAAGTGTAGTGTAGAGACCATGGCCACCAACTTGAATGTAAGTAGCAATTTGATAATGACCAGATAATCTGTTATTCTTTTGCTAAGGGCTAAATATTGCCAGCCACTAGAAATAGTACACATGCTCTTCCACCGAATCTTTCACATTTGAACAGACAGATGAGGCCTCAGTACACTGTCTCATCCCAAAGATATCACTTGCAACAGTGCAGCACCGAGTCAGCAATGCACTGGAGTTTACGTTTTAACTTAGTTTGCATTCATAGGAACAGGAATAGACCATTCAGCCGCTCGAGCCTATTCCACCATTCAACAAGATCGTGGTTGATATGTGGCTTAACTCCATACACTTGCCTTTGACCCATCTCCTTTAATACCTTTGCTTAATGGAAATGTATCTATCTCAGATTTAAAATTAACAACTGATCCCACATTCATTACCATTTGTGGAAGAAAATTTTGAACATCTATGACCCTTTATGTGTAGAAGTTCTCCATAACATCTCTCCCGAATGGTCTGGCCGTAATTCTCAGACTATGCCCTCTAGCGCTAGAATCTCCAACCAGAAGAAATTGTTTATCTTTATCTTTCCTGTCTTTTCCTGTCAACATCTTGAAGACTTCAATCGGATACCCCCTTAATTCTAAACTCTAGAGAACAGTCCTAATTTATCTAATCTTGCCTCATAACTTAGCCTCAGAAGTCTAGCTATCATTCAAATTTTGGAATGGGATTAGAACCTGGAACCCTGGTAAATGTGATGTAGGACTACTGAGGCACTGCTGACCCTAATACAAACAGGTTTATTTCAAAACAAGCTTTTGGAGCCTCGGTCCTTCTTCAGGTGTTAGTGAGAGAGATAGTATCAGATTCGGAATTTGTAAGTAAAAGATCAAAGGATCACACCACTGATGAAGATGTATTAAACAAACCTAAGATGTTGTTAAATCTTAAATCAGTTAGAAGGTTTTAATTGATTAATATGTATATGTAAATCCCCAAATTCCTTTCAAGTCACAGTCCTGAGAGAATTAAAGGTTTTATCAGTGTAAAGAAGAGGTGACATTTTAGGTCAGACAATGTATGTTAGGTGTGAGGCCTTGTTTAGAATCTGTTTGTGTTTTGGTTTGGAGTCAGACTGGTTTTATTTCTAAAGTAGGAATTTATAAAACACCACATTGGCTGACAGTCCATAAATTGTTTCAGAGGTAGTAGGAACTGCAGATGCTGGAGAATCTGAGATAACAAGGTGTAGAGCTGGATGAACACAACAGGCCAAGCAGCATCAGCGGAGCAGGAAGGCTTAAACAAAGGGAGAACGTGCAAACTCCACACAGACAGGTGCCCGAGGGTGGAATTGAACCCAGGTCCTTGGCGCTGTGAGGCAGCAGTGCTAACCACTGAGCCACCTTGCCTGCTGCGTTCATCCAGCTCTACACTTTGTTATCTCAGTCTATAAATTGTGAGCTTTGTGAACAAAATAGAATGTATCTGCAAATACAAATTTTGCATTACAGCTAACACCTGCAAAGGACTAGCTAAGGGGCTCTCCATGCTGCTCAACTGGACCTATCTCCTTCCACATACGTTGTAGTGCTCATCATTCAGGATTGTGTCATAAAATGGAAAAAAAAAACAAATTACCTTCCTCATAGTGACATGTTGTTGAACTGTCATTTCAGCAGCCTTCAAAGAGAGGGCCAGATCCCCACCCACTCTGTAACGTCTCTGTGGGCTTGTATTACAATTTCGTTTTACCTTTATTTGACTGCAAGTACTTGAGAAATGATCAATCCTATAAATGTTAACCCTCAACCTTCTGCAAAACAAAACCTCAGCAGTGACCAGGTAGTGAGTACCAAGTCACCTTTCTGCCAATTGATAGAACCATAACAAACCATTAAAAGTGGCTATTCATTCCTTGTGCACATGAACATATGATTTCAAGCTTACCACTTGATTGCTGTGTTCTGTGTGGCCACCAATTCTGCCTTCCGATAGAGCAAAATAGTATCAAGAAGGAACAACAGACAGACAGGCCAGTTGGTATGTGAAGTCATTATGTTTATACAGCAGCTAGAGAATTCAAGATTATCAGTGAAGAACATTAGAAATTAGAGGAAGATCTCTACAGTGATTTGGCAGATTCCCAAGACTAATTGTTCAAAAAGAGGAAAGCCTGGTTGGTGGCCAGAACTGGAAAACAAAGTTGTAAAATTTGTCAGTACATGTTGCCAGAATTGACTCTGAGTTCCCTAAGGATCAATTTGAATGTTCACTCTGGAGTATGCGTCAGGTTTATGAAGAGAAGCAAAGACAACTATTACAACAGAAGAGCAAGATGTCAGACCATCTCCCTACAGAAGGTGGTAACAGGCTTATTGCATTTCAACAATTTATAAACAAACATTGATAAAATACTGGATACAGATTGGATGGTATTAGAAACATGAATGAGACGCCCATGCATTTTTCAGTGCCAGCCAATCAAATGGTGATCAAACTTGGTGAGAAAACCGTGTTATTGAAGAAAACTGATGGTGCAAAGAGTTGATTCACCATTGTACTGTTCGGCATGTTTGACAGGGCAAAGCTTATGTTGGTGGTCTGAAAGTTGAGAGTCTGGTATGACTGCTCTTCAGATTTTCTTCTGAGAAGAACAGTTATACTGGACTCAAACCATTAACTCTGATTCTCTTTCCCCAGATGCAACCAGACCTGCTACATTTCCCCAGCATTCTCTGTATCTGTTTCAGATATCCAGCATCCATAGTATTTTGTTTTTATTACTTTATCTAATGGTGATATTCAAGAGGGGGAGAAAAAGCCTCCAAAATCAGCAATACCTAAAAGGAGTAGTTGTCTGCATTCATTGCAAAGGATGGATGAATTAGGTGGACTGAAATATAGCTGAACAAAATACAACACAATGCATTACTTGGTTCTGAAGTCAAGGAGGATGATAATTTCCATGGATTGGGAAGTAATATTAACTTCTGTACGCTGGGAAAAAAAAACTGAATGAATAAATGTAAAAATTTGTAGATATGGCTTATGATTGTGATAAATTTGATGAATTTAGTGTACAGAAATTAACACCTTGCTCCATGGAGATTTTAATTTATTTATAAATTAAAATGCAGTAATAAAAATACTTTCTTGTTTCTTTTCCACTACATTTTAGGTGTGGTGTTGATGATGCAATCGCTGACCTGGCAACTCCACAATAGCAAAGCAAAGAAGCAGATTTCAATCTCCAAAGTATTACTTGAATAAAAGTTGACTGGCTACTTTTGATTGAAAATTTAATCTTAGAAACTTCGGCATATTCTCGTAGCATTCATCCCCCTTCATCTTTGGCACATGTGTTGAAATTTCTCCCAAATATTTCTCAACTCCAAGGAGCTTTGTCAATTATTCTTCCCTTGTACTTTCTGCATGGACCTCAATTTTCTGCTCCTACAATTTGACAGAGTCTATACATTTTCAAATCTGGAGCAATGTCTAATCATGCAAATTATCTGACCCCAATACATTATCTTGGGTTTATTTTGAACCCATTTGTAATCATCTAGGGATTAACTATAACTGTACCAGAAAATGTATACTAGTCTATAGATTTGCCATATAAGTGAGAAAAGCCAAAGATTATTCTGCACTTTTTACCTTTGCTGATCTCAGCAAAATGACAGACAATGGATGATATCATCATACATGACTTTAAACTAGATAAGGAGTGAAAGAATATCAGTCCGGGTTGTTGTTTGACTGATACTCTTGCACATTTGATATATTTTATCATTGTTTGATTATAAATTGATGAAATGCAATATGCCTGTTACCACCTTCTGCTGGGAGTTGCTGTGAAATCTTGGTCTTCTGTTGCAATTGTTCATGCTTGGTTGATAATCTTGCACATTCCCAGTGGAACCTTAATTGGCCACAAGTTATCACCTCATTTCAGGAGGAACTGAGAAAGGGAAAATGAGTAAAATATATGTATCGAACTCAGCCAGAAAGATATATATCTAAAGCAACTCTAATGTTATATTCTTAGATCCAGACCTGTATGCATATGCGCAGGCAAATTATTTGAAATTTTATGTCCATTTAGAAATATTCTAATGTTACAGGTGTGCTATCCCAAATTGTGAATCAACATATATTCTTTGCAGTAAATGTGAAGACGCTGTCTGAAATTGAATGATGACAGAGAAAGAGTGCTTGTTGTGACATATTATTCCTCTATCAGCTTTCTACTTTCAGAGACTAGAGCAGGAAAGTTTCAGTAGCAGACGATGACAGAAAATGCTGAATAAGTCTACTGTTACATGTGTTTGACACTGCATGTTTGTCATGAGGCACAGAATATGATTAAATGGTTCTGAGGGGCGAAGCATTGCTAGTTATAATGTTGCTTTCTGACAAATATACAGTTTTTACTGCTGACCTCCACTAAGGTGGATGTGAAGACTTAGACTTGCTTACCATGTGCCTTAGGTGAGTGCAGTCCTGGAGTCAGCATAAAAAGAGTCAATATTCCTGGAATAGAAATTTCTCTTCTAGCTGGAAAAACAGCACCACTTGACAAATTGGCTGCCACCATTGTGTTGCCATCCAAGTAACTGACCAATGAGTAAGGACCCTTTCCCAGCGCTGCAAGCAGAAAGCAGATTCAGTTTCACTTAGAAAATTCATGTGTTGGTAAACACTCCTGTATATTTTTTCATAACTGATTTTGCAGCAGTTTAATACTGTAAGTTCGATATGATAACACATTAATTCATTTTATTCACACCCTCTGATTATTATTCCTCTTCAACACTTCTTGCCTTCATTTAAATTAATTTAGCATACTTTTAAGATAGAATTCAATTGGATCAGGAATTAGATGTATTCTTTTCTCAATGCCAAGGATCAAAGTTTGAAAAGATGGTCCTGTTGAAATATTTTCTTGAAATATAACAGAATAACATCAAGTCATAAAAATTGGAAATAAATTAATATGATGAATGAAATCTTACCTGCATCTAAATAACAAATTATGAGCTGCTTCTAAGTGCTTAATGTTCTTGTAATGTTGCAATTTGTGCAGTTATGTAACTTATGTATAATGCAATGTTCAGTCACCAGTTTATTTGACAAGAAATTAACCCACGTAATGAGACTTTTTTTTGTAATATTGCTTTCCAAATGTATCATATAGAATACACTTAGCCCCCTCTAGGGGCTTAGTCTGGCTGATAATCTAGTTGCTTCTCTGTATCCAGGCCTCAGGGCTGTGACACACAGGCACATTGTGCAATCTAGCATAGCTTTTTTCTTTCATTCTTCAGTCTTGTACTCTATAAACACAAGAAGCAGCTGATGTGTAATTTGTGATAAATCTATTGATTATATTTTTCTCTGTGTGTAAGGAACACATCTTTTCAACTGAACTGACCACTCAATTAAAAATTTCTCTTTAACTTTACAGTGGGAGGAGTCCAAAATATACCCCTATTTATTACAAAGTAGACTCAAATTTTAGAAGGGTGTGCAAAATGGTGGGTTTGTCTATTTCAAGCTTAGCTTATGTTCCACAATAAGTTGTATATGTTTCCAATAGCATTGCAAGATAAAGACTCGATGGAATAAGAAAACCGAACACATTTTTCAAATTTTGGAAAAGATCAGTTCTTTATGAAGATGCCCCCATTAAGATATATTCAATAGTAAATACAATTTTATTTATGGACGTCATATGTGCGATTTATACATATTTATAATTTATTTTTGAATCTGAGTTAGTGGCACATGGATTTTCTGTGTGTCTAAAAGGGTTTAATGATTAACTTGCATTTTTGTAGAAATGGTAATTCATAAAAAGCAAATCTGTCACCTCAATAGTGATTTATTTTTAAAACACAGTATGAGAAAAAGACTTCTGGAGTAATGTCTTTTTATTTACATTGAGGGTGTTTGAGGGAACAAAGTAAATTATGTAGAACATTCTGCTTTCAAGTTAAAGATTTTGGAATTTTTAGGGGCTTAGGGGAGATATCCATAGCTTGGAAAACAGCTTTTTCGTTTCAGTGATTGAAAGGATCCTTGTGCCTGCTCTATTTCCTTCACTTCTACTTTTATTGTTTGCTCACGTTCCCAGACTTCCCCTGTCCAGTAATACGTTTAGCTAGGATCATAATTTTCTAATGTTCATATGCTGAAAGTTTCCAGTATAATAAAGATCCTACAATATTAATACTATTTGTGGTGGAAATATTGAAATAAAAGCAGAAATTTCTGAAAATAGCAGGATTTGGTTAAGAGAGAAATGACATTTTCCAGAAACTTCCACCCCATCAACTTCCATCATCAGAGAATAATCCTCCACCATTTAACTTTGTCAACTGAATCATGAAACCATTACTCAACACATCCTTCCCTCTCCATTTCAGCATTCAAAAGGAACTGTTCCCTTTTCAATAGCCTAGTCCATTCCTCAGTCAACGCGAACACCTCCTCCCTTTCTAAGGCACTTTTCCATGCAATGTCTACCTGACATACTTCTCAGGTGAAACAGCAATTTACTTGTACTTCTTTTGATTTATTTCTGTACATGTTCCTGCTTACACACATGCTTTCCTCTACATTCAGGAGACTAACCACAGCTATATTAAAATTAATAGTAATTAATTGTTCATCAGTGTATTCTATCCTTCAACACGAACAGAGGTTCTTATATATGCAAGAAACACAACTGTTGAATCTCACCTTTATTGTAATATTCACAATCATAGGCTGAAAAAAAGAAAAAGAACAAATCACAAATTGAATTACTGCAGAAACCAAACGTTCTTTTCAAGGCTACATTTTTCAAGTTCCAGTAATCAACATGTTTAAAGATCCAAAAGCAACTTTAAGTTACTGAGAAAGGTTATGTAGGAGAGGGTGTAGTTTGGCGGGTGAATGTGTACTATTCTACGGTGCCAGGTGGGTAAGGTGGCACGTAAGTGTGTGGGAAGTGAGTGAGGGAGCGGATAGGGTGGGAGGTCAGTGATGGAGAGGATGGTGTGGGGATAGGGTGGCAGATCAGTGAAGGAATAGTGTGATCAAGCATTGGGGGAAAGTAGCCATATCTGATGGGGAAGGGCAGTATGATTGATTGTGGAGGGGTGGGTGGGGGGGCGGGGAGGTAGGGAGGGGGAAGGTTTGTGAGTGTGTTTGGTACCAAATTTTATAGTTAGCCAGGAGTTAGAGTAGATTTTAATCCTCTAAATGTTCCCAGTTATCTATCAAATTAAGTGAGTCTAAACCCTTGAGTCTGAACCCTCAAGAGTTGGGGATTTTTTTGGAGATGCTAGGTCATTGCCCATTGGAAGTTTAAACATCTGCTGGTAATTACCACCTAGACAGTGAGACAGGACTCCCAAGGGATTCTGATGATCATCTTTCAGGGCCATCCAGTCTCCACAGTCTAGAGATCAGAAAATCCAGGCTAATATCATAAAATTAATTTTGAATATTTCTCTCCCTCCATGAATTATTTCAAGTTGCAACAAGTTGATTAACCACTCCCAAGTTTCAATCAATAATGCCTGATCGACTGCTAGCAAGAAGCAAGCCAACATAACCAGCTCTTTACTCTACATATTAAAGTATCTGATCACCACTCAGAATTTCAGACAGAGGTTGGAGTCCAGCTTTAGTAGCTCACGGTGCAAATGAATTGTACAAATAAAAAATGCACATACAAAAACAAAATTCAAAATAACATACCACTAAACAGCGCTGCTTACAGATGATGTTCCGTTGGCAAAAAATAACAATAATATGGCAGAGATTTTAAAGGGAATTGCAGTAAACATTTGTGTTCAATATGAGATAGATTTCTAGTACTAACTAAAATTATTTTACCATAATACAATTACACTTAAAATAATTAAGTTATGACAACGAAGGCTCCATTAATCTGACTTGGGATGGAACCAAAATGAAATCTGATCATTTATAATGAGTTGGAGAGGCATAGAGTATGGTATCCCTGCTACTTAGTGCTTGCATCAATGGAAGGAAGATAAGGACCACGAATTTTATCAACATGTCATGGATCCCATCAGCTAGGACTAAATGCAGGTTCTGTACTTATGCAAGTGAGCAGAGGGATCACAGCAGTGATTTGGGACCATCACCCAATTAATGACATTGGCTGGCACATCTAAGATGCCAGACTATTCAGATGGCAGGTAACCCTACAGCCTTAGGAATGTCACTGACACAGGTGGCTACTGCTAAAGCTCTTAGAGCAAGGAGAGGGCTGGCAGATAGAATAGTTACATGTCGAGTCCAGGCAAGTAGGCCCCAACTGCTGGAGAGGTTTGCACTCTCCTGGAGATGCAGAGCCACCATTGCTATGACTGGATAATCACTCCTTGGCACATAGGGTCTTGAGAAGGGAAGCCATCACTCGCTACTTCCTCCCTGGTCTCCATCACTGGGATGCTGCAGGAAACTTGTTTTGTTGTTCTATCAACATTTTTCCAGACCCCAGCAGCCCATCTCCAAAAGGCTGGTAAACTTTAGCCTGATATATCCAACATCATCTCTGTGAGAAATGTAGAAAGCAAGTTACACTTTCCAATTGCTTCTCCAAAGAGCCCCACAGTCACAAACAGCGTACTGCAAAAGCCAGGAGAGAATGGAATTCATAGCTTCCAGGTTTCCACTGAAATATCTCACTAAAGGGGCAACAATGCTCAGAAGGACTAGGCCCCAGAGCACTGTTTTCCAGGCAGCTAAGGGAAATCAAAAATGCCCAATGGCTGCTTTACTTACGGCAGATTGTGGGGGTTCTCCAATCAATTGCAACTCCATGTTGACAACACATGTGAGAATATGCTAACACGCTGGTGCAGAAGCACTCACAGTCTCCACCAAGATTACATGCACAAGTATCCATCAAGCAGTTGGCATAAAACCAGGTGACATCAACCTGAATAGTTTAAAAGAAACAAATCATTAAACACAAAGGATTTGGACGTTCACAAAATAGGTTGTTAAATAAGAATGGAAGGCTGATAGATACAACAACGCTAATTTGCCAAACAATTTTGCTAACTTGCAGAGATGCAAAACACTGGGGCCTGTGGCTAGAGGGGCCCAGGCCTGCTGTGATTAATGAGTTCTCATTGTAGTACAGACTGAAAAGGCACAGCATCATATTTGAAAGAGCAACTTTTAAAAATAAATTAAACCATCAGTGTTGACTGCTGCAAGCATATTTTTTTTTCCCCCTGCAGCCAGTCATTCACAAAGCTACCCAAAGCTCTTTCCCAGTTTTGGCAACAGTCAGGTTTTTGTACAAAAAAAACTGTCAAACTGTAGTTGCTGAGAGTGGGCAGTGACAGCAGATTGGAGCAGCAGCAGGCATGGAAAAGGCAGAGCTGCTGCCCCAGTCACAGATCCTGTCTCTCCCACTTGTGCACCGCTGTTCTGATAATCTGCAGTGATAGGCAGGTGAGCTGTCTCCAACAGAAGAGCTGTTCCTCAGAGATACCCTGCAGTAATGGATGAGGAAGGAATCCAAGACAGAATTGCCAGTCTGTGGACCTCCCAGCAACCGACAGTAGAGTTCCAGTAAAGAATGTGCTTTAGTCCCTCAAGAACTAAACCTTTATCTGATTTGTCTTACTGAATACAAGATATTGACTTTATTTTTAGAACTGAGCCCCAACTGACAGGGTAAAAGTATTTTCTTTAATCACAGCTCTAAATAAAATTAGTTTGGACAGGTTCAACTCTGTGCTTCGTGGACATAGCATACCCACACATAATTGGTAGATTTCACAGCAAGGTAAAAGAACAGAGGGACCCAGGGGTGCAGGTACATAATTGTTTGAATTTTGCGTCACATAGACACGGTGGTTAAAAAGGCATTTGGCACACTTGCTTTCATTGTTCAGCCCTTTGAGTATCAGAGTTGGAAAGGAGGTTGTACATGACATTAGTGAGGTCTCTTCTGGAATACTGTGTCCAGTTCTGGTTGCCCAGTTATAGGAAGGATATTATTAAGTTGGACAGGGTTCAGAAGAGATTTACCAGGATGTTGCCAGGTATGGAAGGTTTGAGTTATAAAGAAAGCCTGGATAGGCCTCTTGGAGTCACCTCCTGGAGTCTCCTATTGATCGTGGGTCTTTAGTGAGTGCATTTCAGCAGCTGTAATCACTGAAGGTGGCACCGTGAGGCAATTGAAGGTTGGAGGTGTCTGATTGACCAGCAGTTCTGTGTGGTGGGATACGCTACAACCAACACTGTTTGATCCCAACACTGTCCACTTAAGTGCCCGATCAGCATTTAATACCCATAGATTTTTCCCAGCATAGATGACATGGGACCTGTCAATTCTTACGCTGGCTAATGAAACCCCCCTTTGCAGTCATTAAATTCTGCTCGACATTTCCAGATTGAAAATCCCAGTTCCTCATAATACTAGACACTAGAAACTAGCTTTTTATGGCCTTTCCTTGCACTAGATCAGAAAAAGATACCGTATTCCAGGTCTGACCAGAACATTGTAAAATTTACTCACAACTGTGTCCCTTTTGTTAGTTTCATTCAACTTTTGTTGCTGTTCATTGGGTGTATAGCTCACTCTTTATTTGGTTAATTCTCTAGGAGGAGCAATTGAATCAAATAGGCAACAATTACAGAATAAATCAGTTAACTACACTCTGAATATATGAGCAATTTGCATCGAGTTCCAAATTGAAGGTACACTGGCAAAGAAAGGTGAACAACAAATAAGACCTGACCTTTCGAAGGACCTGACCTTTCTAAGTCTCAAATGATGAAACATGGGAATTATTTCTGCTGGTCCCCAAATACCTAAAGTTAACAAAAAATAAAACATTTTGTCAAGTAGCATTGAGCAACTAGCAGATACACAAAAGGAAAGTTGAGCTGTCCAAAATAACCAACAAAATGAGATGATCTATTCTGACAGTGATGTTGTGTCAATTACCAAGGATTCCTAGTCATATTTCCCTATTTGATTAGAGTTAAATTACCTGGAAAAAACAGGCAGTGTAATCCAGCAACAGTAGAAATGGTTGAATGACATCAGAAAAAAAATGTATTTGTCCTATGATCACTCCCATTATACAAGATACAAGACAATTGTTGGTGAGAGATAGTAGGAACTGCAGATGCTGGAGAATCTGAGATAACAAGGTATAGAGCTGGATGAACACAGCAGGCCAAGCAGCATCATAGCCTTCCTGCTCCTATGATGCTGCTTGGCCTGCTGTGTTCATCCAGCTCTACACAATTGTTGGTGAGATGGATCACAAATGAAAAGGAAAAAGCCTGTTATTTGAATCCGTACATGTGACAACAATAAATCAATCACTCACTCACCACTGGGTGGCAGGGCTCAAACACCTCGGACAATAATATGCCACATTCCTTCTTTGCAAACGGCTCCCGGAGTGGGTTCACACTGCATGGATTACGGATATCAGGGCTACTCGCACACTAGGACAAGTTAAATAACTGTTCAGAAGTTTGTTAACAATCTAAACAGGATGTATTGCTGTGAGCTTTAAACTGGATTGGAACACAAGTTTACGAAAGGTACACTGTCAAACTCAAGACGGTGAAATCTCCCCCTCCATGCGGTGTCAAGTATAATGACCGGTGGGTTAAATTAATTTCGGGACAGTCAAAAAATAAAATCAGGTTCTCGCTGTTGAGTTACACTTTCACAAGTAAGCCCTCCCTCCTTCACAATCACAGGATGTGGGCATTGTTGGGTAAGCCAAGCCAGCATTTATTGCCCATCGCTAACTGCCCAAAGGGCAGTCAAATCTGGAGTCACACAGAGGCCCGACTGGGTAAGGACGGCAATGTCCTTCCCTAAAGGCTATTGTGTCTTTTCATAAACCAAATTCAGTTGAAGTTAGCTATAGGCCAAAAATATTTTGGTGCAGCTAACTGGGGGTGAGGGGTGGGATGGGGGTGATTAAGAGTGGAGCTAATTCACCCTTCCTTACCTGTTTGTAATAATTTCTATGTAATTCCAAAATCAAATGTTTCAGCAATGGAAAGAAAAACTGAGTTGGGAAGAGAAGACATTATTGAAGATACCTGGCCCAATGCAGTCAGAGGACAAATAGAACAATGCAAAGTAAGCCCTATTGATCAAAAAAGGATGATGTCCATTAGCCTATATAAACACTTTGGAGGCATGAAGGAGATGTAATGTACTGCAATTGTGGTTGCAGAAGCTGTCTTTAACAAATGTTTCCCTTGGAATAGCTGCATTTTATATTTGTAGAGTTCTATGGGTTTTTACATTGAGTCCTGCGGCTGTTATTTGTTGGCATTCTCCAATGAATGTTAGCCCACAGTTAGTATTCCCAGCAGAATTAATGATGTGCTTCATGTAGCCAAGGTGGGACCATAAGCTCGATGTTTGCAAAATTAGGAGCCACATTACAGTCCTTTAACACTGCCTTTCTTCCACTTTTAAACACACATTTCTGTAATAGTCTAAAAAATGAAATGGCAAATGCATTCATCCACTAGGTGGTCTAATCAACAGATCATTCCATGGCCTACAGGCATCTGTTTCAACCAAACCCAGCCCTATAACTCACCCAGCGCACAGATATGTGCCCTTTCCCAACATCTAATTGTGCCATGGCCAGTCTAGTTTCCAAATAATTATTCACCTCCTCAGCTGTCCAACTGTTCCCAAAATCTTGTGGATTCTGTGACTCCATGTGATCTGGAGTCCTCAATTCATTGGCAGTTTTCATGTCAAAATTTCCACATAATCCAGAGAGTTTATCCTGCACAAATATAAAAACAAAAGCCACAACATAAATTTTTGTGCTTAGAAATCTATGTAATCAATCCATGCTATTGATCATTGACACTTCTCTTTGTGGTAATGATCCAGTAACTCATATGTTTTGATGAATGAAAAGGTACTTAAACTAAGTCCTTGGTTAAGCAAGGAGAGCCTATATCAGGATATATTATTATTTTGTATTTTGATATCTTCATGGAAAGAGGTTGATACTACACACCATCTCAAAGTACAATGCTAATTCAAGAATTTAGAATCAGTTCTTTAAATCCAAATTGACTTACCAGCGACTGATTATGATGGTCAGTTATTTGCAATCCTAAAGTTTACTCAGCCACATCTTAAATTTAATTTTTTTATACTTAGGAAATGTTATAAATTTCTGATTTTCCAGGAGTTTAAAGCGTGATGAATGCAGAAGTTAAGTTAACGTAATTCATGTTTTCCACAGCCTAACATGTGTTAGAAGTGTAAACCAAATTATAAATTAAATCAACTATCAATATGAGAAATACTTACCTGTTCAATGGAAGATCTACCGAAACAATAAACTTCATTTTTAAGCAAAATACTCTACATTTAATTTATTTCCTGGAACTGTCATGCTAGAATATTTTTCAAACACTGCACTATTTGTACTGAATTTACAGAAGCGTGATGTTTTAATTTTGTTGAGAGGCAGATCATAGGTAATTTTACTGAGGGTATAATGATGAGCAGCAATAAGTAAATGAGATGTAGCAGTGGACATGATAAAAAGGTAGATTTCGTAAGCTTGTTTATGATATCCCAATGTATTTGCAATGATGTTATCTGGATCATAAAACATGATTTGGTTTTACTTTTAATCTGACACCAATGTCTTATAAGCATGCTAGAAGAAACATTTTTGCTTCCTGACAGGTTAACGCATAAAGTCAGATCAAAGCTCAATATAGAATTCAGTTTCTACAGTGATGGTTTGTCTTAGTAGGAACCCTAGCAAAAGGCTTGCATCTAGAGCATCATCCAGATGCTCCTTGCCTGATTTATAATCTAATGAACTTTAATATAAAGCAGAGGGGAAGCAATTATCTTCATTACCTGGGCAGTAATCTGGTAGGACAGATTGCCCATCTGTTGGATGCTCCATCTGAATTCCAAGCCACTAATTTCAAGAATATTCTACAACATGGGGCAACTTGCTTTGCGAGATTACTGCCCAGATGGTGTGCATGAATATCTACCTCTGTGGTCTGTATAGTAAGTGAGAACACCAATTTTGGCTGTGCTGCCTCCACGGTCAAACATCTGATTGCTTACTGACTAGGCTCACAGGGACCAGTTGTAACCTGTGGCTATAGACACTGGTCCAGTACAGTCTGATACTGTAGGTAGGCAAGAGAAAGAAAAAATATTTGATAGTGTAATGCTGAACAGTTTTATTGATTGCTATCTAGTACATAAATGATGATTAGGCGTACCAGTTGTTGACTACCAGGAATGTTGTACTGTATAGGATCTCAACTACAGCACAAAATTGTACTTATATTCCTTACCTGCCACTTAGGTCCAATCTGCAAATGTATCGTCGTCCTTTGGTCCCACAGTATTGTAATTTCTTCAGCAGGGAAATAAATCACAGTAAAAATACCAGCTTTCCATATGTGTAAAATTTGCTGCATGTTGTTGACACGAGAGGGACTCTGGGGAGATTAGTAATCATAATTTAATGGACAATATTTAAGAAAACAATGGGATATGAATGGTCATCAATGAAGAAATAGTCAAATAATCAACATGCGGTCGGTGCTGGGGTGAACAAATTTCTTTTATCATTTGGTACTAATTCATTCAATTAAACACTGATTCAGTTTTAAAAACAAACTATTAAGTTATTAGAAGTACATTCTAATGATTGCAGAATTATCTGTCTATTACAAAAATGGAAGCCAAGAAAATAGAACTATTTTAATAAGAAAAATCTCTGGAAAGTCATGAAACACAACGGACACAAAACTGTTTAATATTGTGATTCTGCTGTTCTACTTACTGCATTCCCACTGTCATCATCAAAAACCAATAAAGTATTTCCAACTGTGATAGACATAGCCTTTCGACAAATGATGCCATTTCCATAGCAATCAATATTTTCAGCCATGATAGATAGATTTGAAGCCCCAAGGCTCTGCCAGAAGAAAAGTTATTCTTTTGGATATACATATACAGTATCAAGTTTATAGTTCACACATCTATAGTGGTTTCAGACTCGGCACAAGGACTGAAATACTTTAATACATCACTAACTGACAGTGGTATTCAAGTGTGGTGTATCTGAGCTTAATAAAAATATAAGAACCAAAACACGCCATTCACTTTACAGCCTTGATCCCACTTCAGGCCCTTCTCATTAAAAAAAAATTAGCAAATGTCAATGTCTTATATGGGCATATTACTGAGCAAGGTCAAGTGCTGCCAAGAACAGCAGACATACAAGTATTAGTAGAGTTCCCTGCCCCAAAATCTAAACGGGAAATAGATATTTTGTGGACTTTATGGGATTAATGCAAGTTTATAACAAATACCAGCACTGTCGTTGCTCCACTGATAGTCCTGCTTATAAATAAAGTCAAGGTAGTGTGGTCAGGCAAATGCCAAGCACTTTGAGATGTTCACAGCTAGTTTGATCAATGAACCAGAGCTGGCTGCACAAATTTCATTGAGTTCTTCAAGATCACAGCAGAGGCAAACGATTTGGGAGGGGTGTTGTTCTATTACAAAATGATCGGTCAGGCATGGAGAAGTCAATAGAATAATTCTGTAAATAATGAAATGAACATCAAAAAAGATGCTCTACTGTGAAAAAGTAACTCTGGGAATCCTATGGACTCCAATAATTTGAAGTCTATATCTGTATTGAAACGGAGAAATATTGGTACATACTGATCATAACTTTTGTGGAAAAATTTAAAAACCAAAATGGCAGAAATTTTTGACAGTGTTTGCTAATGCAGTCCTATCTTTTAAAGTTCGTTCATAATGCAGAGGAAAAAAAAACATGACTTCCAGTGCTTTGTCAGAATGTAAACTTGCTTGAGTTGTCTAAATATTAAGAATGCATCAGAATTAATGGTGTAGTTACATGGAAGCAGCAAATGAGAATGAATGTATCAATGGGTCTTAATGTCTTTATACCTTTGTTTTGTCCACTCTTTACAATGAAATTCATTTAAAAATGGTGTTTAATTTTCCTCAAGTTTGGAAGTATTACAAAGATGATTTATATTTAATATTGCATCGGGTCTTATGTTTAGAAGGATTGTGAGGAAAGGTATATTTTTAAAGTTTGCGAAAAACCTGGAGTGCTTTCTTTATAAGAGGTTATTGTAAGTTCACTGTGAACACTGGAGTTTTACTTTAAACCTGTATCCCAGAAATCACATGACTGGTGAGAACTAATTCTTTTGTTGTAAATCCTATGGGAGCTGTGTTGACTTGGAAACATTCTCGATTCGTCAGGCTGAGTTGGAGGAAATCCTTTGAACAACCTAGCTAAATTGGTGGAAAGCTGCTAATAACAAGCTGAATTGGAGGGAAGCTTGCTATGAACATGCTGCCCAGCTGATCTTTCCCATTGCTGAAAAAAGAACTCTCTACATCAGTTCAGGGTGAAACCTATCCTTTCTTTTAAAGAATATCTCAAGATTATATTTCCTGAGCAAGCAGTGTTTACCAGCCCTTAGAGACAACTTTGCATGGATTAGTGAGTTGACCATACATGCCAGAATATCAAAGCAACTGATTTCTGAAAGTCCTGTGCTTTATTCTTTTACCTTCAAGAATAGCCAATTAGTCAAAGTTATTTTTTCAAAAAGCATATTTCTGTGGAGAAATTAGATTTTATTCATCTTTCCCTGTAGTGAGAGAGAGAAATGTGGATACTTAAAGGGATAAGCATTTCTACTTTTATATCACTGACTGTGTATATTAAGCAAGTATTACAATAAGTTTTGTTTTGATAATAGCCACAGTTGTGTTTATTAAGAAATTTGACGAATAGATTTTTATTTAAAGCTTAACTTAGAAAAGGTATTTAACTGGTTATCTTAGCGACTAGGAGAAAATATTTTCTATTTGAAATTTTTATTTTAATCTATGGAATAATGGGAAGATTAAAATGATAGTGCACTCCTCCAGCTTGTTCACAACACAAAGCAATGGAATGTCATATCCATCGAATAAGAACACAGGAGCATACGAACAGGAGTAAGCCAGTCACTTGAATCTGGGTCTTCCAATTAAATAATAAAGGCAACAGATGGGAAATCTGTGAGGGGCAGGAGTGGGAGAGGGGGAGGGAGGAGAAAGTGGAAGTTATTGATAAAGATTTTGTGACAGCCAATAATCAGTTTGCATTTGGACCTACCACTGAAAAATGACACATTTTGTCAAGGTTTCAATCTTGCACTCAGCAGAACAATTTGCAATTTATACCAAAAGGACAAACAAAATTTATGAGAGAAGAGCACAGATTAGCCGGCAAGTAGATTCTGATTGGTAAAGGTATTTTCCATCAAGAATGCACCAGTTAATGATGACTGACAGTTGATAGCCGAGTTTTGCTTAAATTTTAAACAAGGTGGGTTGACTATTATTGATCAAGGCATCACCCTGAGAAAAAAACCAGAGAATGGATTCTTTGGTATTTATTGGAAGTTGTTCTGATGGGTACATGATGAAAACATTCAAGCTCTTTCCTATCATACGACTAATCCAACTACACTTAAAATAGAAATGTTTACTTGATTTGCATACCTTCAGATTCTTTTCTCTCTTCGACAAATGTTGTGGAGTGTTGGAAGGATAATGGAACCTGATTAACAACCTACATTGAGATGTATGAATACTCCTTCTATGGCCAACAAGTCTTGGACTGGGACTCAAGTCCAGGATCTTTCAACTCAGGCTCCATACATGTCTACTGTCCATTTTATGATCATGAAAATTGTGTCTATGTTATTCAAGATGATTTTGCTTACAATTACAAACAATTTCAAATCTTTGACCCAGTTTTTATTTTATTTGTTTGTACCTTATTGGAAAATCTTTTTTTTTAGGATAAGTGAATACGGTTTATTAAAAAAAAATGAATCTTACACTAAAATGAACCTTTACCTTAACCAGGTAGACCTTGCAAGGACTAATAAAATCATAAAGAACTCCATCGAAAGTTTTGTAATGGCGGTCTCCATAAGCTGTACACATTGATGGACATGGTTGGAATGTGCACTGGAAGGTCCCCTGCAGGCAAACACTAAAAGGTATGTTACCAATGAGGATTAACTTAAGTATATGTTTGCACAATTACATTCAAAATTGTATTATTTAAACTAATGTTTTCTTTAAACTAAAGAAAGCAATCTTTCATTTTATGCTGCATTTGTTCACATTATGAGACTGACAAGTTTTAAATCTCTAATTCCATTAGCAGTTTACTGTTACTGATAATACATTTGCAAATATTTTACTCTTGCATTTCAGAAATTAAATACAAATAATGCTTGAAAGCTTCAATGCTTAATTTTAACAATGAATATATATCTTGCTGTTGTGAGTCATTTGTGACTCCATTTCAGGAATGGGCCATTGTAACAAGTTCATCTCTATCTATACAACTATTACAGTGTCATATATTAGAAATAAATGTATTATCACTCACATTGTTCAAAGTGAAACTGCTACAAATATATTAATTAAACAATAAGAAATGTTTAACTGAATGAAGTCATTTTTGATGACTTAAAAACTAAATTTTTGAAACATCTTGACATTTTATTGGAACCACTAAGAATGAAAATAGATTTTCTTGCGTCTTCATGGTAGTTTGTTTTTATTTATTCACTCATGGGATGTGGCCATCATCAAGCAGGCCACCATTTCTTACCCATCTCTAACTGCTGTTAAATAGGTAATGCTGAGCTGCCTTTCTGATCAGTTGCAAGCTGTGTAACAATAGAACTCCCCAACTGCTATTTAATATAGATGGTGCTAGATTAGTAACAAAGTGACCAATCAAGAAATGGTGTTTTAGTTCCATGGAAGGATGGTGTATGACTTGGAGGGAAATGTGCAATCATGATGTTCTCACAAGCCTTATATGCTTGTTCTTCGCAGTAACAGAAGTGAGTATGAAAAGCACTTGAGAAGCCGTGTTGAGTTGTTGTAATAACCATTGCCATGACAGTAGAGGGAGTACATGTTGAATGTGGTGAATAGCGTACAAAGCAAGTTAACTGATTTATTCAAGGTAGTGTTAAGCTGACTAAACAGTACTCATCCAGGTAAGTGCAAAGCATCCCATCACACACTAGACTTGTGTCTTGTCGATGTTGGACAGGCACTGAAGAGTTAGAAGATGGACCAATTGCTGCAGAATACCAACCTCTGGCTTGCTCTTTAAGACACAGCATTTATGTGGCTGGTCCAGCTAATGATAACTCTCAGAATATAGGTGATAGGAAATTTGACAATGGTAATGCGTTCAATATCAAGGAAAAGTACTTAATTTATTTATTGTGGGAAGTTCTTATTGCCTGCTACTTAAATGAATGTTGTGTGTTGCTTATAAAATCAAGCCTTGATGCTGTTCAAGTGTTGCTGCATGCAGCCATGGACTGATTTAGCATTTGAAGTTGCAAACAGAACTGTAAACACTACAATCATTAGGATATCATAATTTCACCTCTCATGATAGAAATTTGTCAGGCTGCGGGGAAGTAGCACTAGGCGAGTTACCTTTGCAGGGATCCAGCAGAGATGTAGTTTGCTGTTCTATGAATTTATGATCCAACTTAACACGGAGATGGTACCACTGCAACACACTGAGTGTCCTCAGTGTGATGATGGAGGTTTGTCTTCACAGGAATTTTGTGGTCATTGAACAAATACTATTATGGTCAGATGCATCTGTTATAGTCAGACTGAAATCGATGAAATCAATTGCTTTTTCCATCAAGTTAGTTTACTCATCAAATCTGTGTGCGATGCTCTTTGGAGGGCCAGTGCAGACTCAATGGATACTGTAGGATTTCTGTGATTCTATGACAATGGTGACCATACTACTTGACTTATTTTGGAACGTTGATGGTGATCCCTTGCAATATCATCTGGGCATGTCTTTGCCATATCCGAATTTAGTGCCAAGTTCCACACCAATCGGTCCATGTTTTTATTCTTCTTGATTTTCTTTGGAGTGATTTGATCCACTTGAGAAACCAGCTCAACCATTTCAGATTTACTGAGTGGGCATCTGACTGAACAATGGGGAATAATGTGGGGAAGGGTGTGGTTACTCACTTTTCGTTACCAGAATGGAGAAGCAGAATATTTTTCAAAAGATGTGAAATTTGCAAAGATGTTGAGAAAGATTTGGGTATACTATGAAATTAACATGTAATTAGGCAGGCTGGTCATTGAGACTGTGGCACAAGGGTAAAGAATTCCTGCTTCAACTGTTTAGGGCATTGTTGAGACCACACCTGGATTACTGTGTGCAGCAATGTTCTCCATGTTTTTTTTTAAGAAGGAAAGGCTTGCATTGGAGGCAGAATAGTAAAGGTCCCTGTGTTGCCCTACAATGAGAGGCTCAATGCGTAATTAGCTCTGTGAAGTTTTGAAGAACTGAAACATACAAGATTCTGAAAGGACTTGGCACAGTAGATAATGATGCATTGTTTCCTTGGGCTCAGAAATCGAGAACACAAGGCACATGTAGTTTCAAAATGAGGAGCCAATCAATTAAGAATGAATTGAGAGATTTCATCAATCTAAGGGCAGTGAATCAAGAAATTTCTTTTTTGCCCAAGGGGTTATAGATGGACCATCATTTAATATATTTAAATCTGAGATGGACAGATTTTTTTTGGTCTGAGAGAATCAAGGGATATTGGGAAGGGACAGGAAAGGAGAATTTAAGCCCAAGATCAACCATGTCATACTGAGTAGTGGAGTAGGTTAGAGTCTTCTCCTGCTCCAATTTCTTATGTTTTTGCCTAATGAGAGTGTTTTAAAGGTTCAACAAAACTTCCATGCTTTGGCACTCAATACCTCTACTTAAGATCCCACATATGCTTTATTAATTACTCTCTCAATATAGCCTCTAAAGAGCTACATGCGCACACCCCAGCTCTTTCTATAGTACTACAAATACCACATTAGTGTTGCCTCTCCCTAATGTTCCGGCCAAAATGTATCAAATCACACCTCTGCAGGTCAAATTCCATCTTCCACTTATCTGCCTTTTTTAAAAAAATCTGTGTCCAATTGCAGTCGACTGGTAACATCCTCAATATTAGTTACGCACCAACTTCGGTGCTACCTGCAAATTTTGACATTTTAATCTGTATTTCAATACATAAGTAGTTTATTTTTTCTTTTAAAAAAAATCTGTTATGAATGAGGGCAGTATCAGCTATGATTTACTCAATGCACCAAGTAACCTGTCACTGTCCAATATCAGAGATAGTAGGAACTGCAGATGCTGGAGAATCCGAGACA